GCTGATCAAAGCATCGAGAAGGGTTTTCACTCACAGTGACCCTGTTGGGTTCAAACTGCTATCCTTGTGGGTAACAGCCCACCGGTAACCTACTATGTGCCTCCTGGTCTCCAATGTACAGAGTCTGCCAAATTAAGAAGCCCAGCAGCCTGGCTCATGTTTTCCCCCTGAATGAATTAGGCCCCTTGGCCACCTACCAAGTGTGAAATGGTCTCTGAGAACTAGCTCCTACTAGATGGCTCAGGCGTCCGTAGCCAGGCCTGCTGCAGCCGTGCACATGGGCACTAGCTGAGCTCAGAGACCACAAACAAAGAGTGTAGCCATTTCAGGGTCTCCTTCACTTCCCTTTTGGGCAGCCACCTTCCACCCCCTTGTTATTTCCCACCAAGGGATTAAGGACTCTCTGTACAGCCCCCCCTTTAACTGGATTCCAACGCACTGAGACCCTGTATACGGTTTCTGAGCTGGTACATTTTTACTGAAGCGTACAGCCTCAGTTTTCTCCCAAAGAGCAGCTAGTGGGTTTGAACTGCCAACCTTTGGGTTACTAGCCCAACATCTAACCCACTGTGCCATGAAGTTTCCTCTTTTACACCAGCTAGCAGAGGGATAAGGAACCCTGGTGGTGCTGTGGGCTAGGCATTGGACTGCCAACCGAGAGGTCATTGGTTCAAACCCACCAGCTGCTCTTCAGAGCAAGATGTTGTTGTTAGGGTGCCCTTGAATCGGTTCTGACCCATCTCGACCCCATGCACCACAGAACCAAACACTGCCTAGTCCTGCGCCAGCCTCCCCAGGGCTCCCGTGCCCGAGTCCACTGTTACAGCCACTGGGTCAGTCCACCTCACTGAGGGTCTCCCTCTCCTTCGCTGCCCATCCGCTTGACCAAGCATGGTGTGCTTCTCCAGGGACTGATCTCCAGAGGACGGGGCAATGTCCTCTGAGTGTTGTGGTCGTTGGCTCTCCAATCTAGGCCAGGATCACAAGGAATCTGCTCTTCCCAGGATCAGTCATTTCCAGCCAGAGATGGGAGTTACAGGGTGAGCCGGGCATCCTCCCGGTCACATACCTGAGCAGGGTCCCCTTTTCTGAACTGCTGCTGCTGCCCGGAAGGGCACTGGCCCTTGAGCGACAGGGAGGCACAGGACTATTGGACAACTGTTATGTTCCTGCGGTAACTTTGTGCCGTAGAGCCTCCGTTCGCTCCTTAATCCCAGCCTTGTGTTCACGGCTCGGCGTATCCTCTCAGAATAGGACCCACAAGCTCAGACGCCGTACGTGAACCCACCCAGACGCCGCGAAGCAAATTAGTAGCCACGATGTAAACCTTGCCTAATTATGAAGGGGACGGAGGGTTAAGTCAAATCAAAGACCAAATGTAATCCACAACAAAGAGAGTCCTTTAAACGCGGCGGCCTTTCCAGCCTTCCCCAGTAGACAAGATTGCGTTAGGTAGGAGCTAATTATCAAAGGGATTATCTCGGGCTTCAGTTTGCCAGCGTTTCCTCTGAGGCCGGCACTTTCCGGAGCATTGGGTGGGATGGACCAGTAGCGTGGGGACAGGGTGCTGATGTCTAAGGGCATGGTTTAGCTGGATGGGCTGGAGAAAAGGGTCCCAAAGCCATAGGGAGGCTTGGGGATGGAAGTCTCTGCTTTTCGCCCCAGGGTTTCCCCACATCTTTTAAAAGCGGTACGTTTCACACACCGTGACCCCGTCTCGTGTGTGTTGAGATTGGCTTACCTTGGACGGTGCTCACTGTCTGTCTCCTCACCCCGCAACCCCCCAGATTTGTCTTGCGTGAGCTGTATGCCTTACCTGCTGGAACTGAATGCTTCTCAAAATAGACTGACTACATTCTTCAACTTCAACCCGCCCAGGAATCTCAAGGTAGGCCGCACCAACTTCACTCCCTGCCTCATCTCAGCGCCTGGCAAAGAGGGATCCCAAGGGCCCTGAAACAGAGCCTCGGGCAGGGAGCCGTAAGAAGCCTGGGGAACTGAGGGGAAGTGTCCGCCAGGAACAGATGAGCTCGGGATCATGTGTTTGGGGAAAGTGGGATGATGGGTCTGCAAACAAGGGTTTTTAGGAAGAGTTTCTAAAACCCAGTTATTCAAGCCCAAGGACCAATTTCCCCCAATCTACTCCCACCTGCTGCCATCTCATTCACAGGCTACTCATTATTGCTGTGTTTGTATCATAGCAGAACATTTTCAAGTCCGCTTTGTGGCCCGGGAAAGCTGTGAAAAATCTTTTGTGGGCTCAAAGGAAAAGCAAAACAACTCGCTGCAGTCAGGGCCATGCCGACTTCCAGCGACCCCGTAGGACAGAGCAGACCTGCCCTGTGGGTTTCCAGGCCCGTGACTGTTCAGAGGAGTAGAGAGCCCTGCTGTCACCTTGCCGCTAGCAGCCCGCCGCAGAGCTCACCACGCCATCAGGCTCCGGGGCTCAAAGTGGGCCCTCCTTACAGAGCCCTGGTGGCGTAGTGGGGTCCGTGTGGGACTCTTAACGCCAAGGTCAACAGATTGAAACCACCAGCTGCTCTTTGGGGGGAAGAGGAGGCTTTCTGCTCCTGTCAAGAGAGCCGTCTCTGGGAAACCCCCCGGGGCAGTTCTATTCCGCCCTTTGGGGCCCGGTGAGTTGGAATTGACTCGGTGGCGGTGAGTGTAGGGTATTGATCCAAGCTTTACTTTTTTCAGGGAAAAAAAGAAAGCCCTCAGATGCATTCTCCTCTGCGGCTCTGCTCTTGCACATCTCTGGACGGTGCCTGAGAGGGAGGGCCCTGACCGCACCAGGGGCAGCAGGGTGTCCCAGTTCATGGGCACCCACACCCCGGTGGTTCTCGGGAAGTCCTCCAGGACTCAGGCAATCTGGGGGTGGGGCATGCAGGACCATGTTTAACAAGCCCCAGTGCTACCGGAGAGCCCTGGGAGTGTAGTGGTTATGTGTTGGGCCCGCCTCAATCTGCATGGTCAGCAGTTAGAAGCCACCAGCAGCTCCATGGGAGAAAGACCGGGCTTTCTACTCCCATCAACACTTACAGTCTGGGAATCCCACGGGGGGCGCTGTGTGTCAGCACTGGCTTGATGCCAGGGGGTGATGCTATTGTTCCTGGTGCGTGGACCACACATTCGGACCCCCGAGAACCACCAGCAACCACCCGTGCCTGTGCCCTGGCCCTGAGAGTCCAGTGTAAGTCCCGAGAAACGGCGTGGCTGCTGACCTGAAGGTCGGTGGGTCATGCCCACCAGCCGCTCTGCAGTAGAACCGCGTGGCAGTCTGTCTCCACGCGTGGGGATGGGTCTCCTCGGAGTCAGCTCAGAGCCCAGCCCGGGAGGAGTGCGGGTTGGCAAGGGTCTTCAGGCAATCCTCCAAACAAACACTGTGCGGGCGGCCGTGAGACTGGCCCCTCACACAGATGAGGACACTGAGGTGAGGTGCGGCCAGGTGCGGCCACAGACTTAAGCTTCGTTGGCAGGTGGCAGAGCGGGGATGGAAGCCTTGTCTGGGAGCCCAGTGCTGGCACTTTTTCTGTCAGACCTACTTGCGTCCTTTGTCCCGTCCCCTGAGCAGCCCTGCCTCCTCCCCACGTGGGGTCTGTGGGACACCCCCCCCACACTGTGCATGGGAGCCCATGTGTGGGGCACCCCCCCTCCAAACTGTGCGCAAGAGCCCGTGTGTGTCGTGGAGTGTCTCTGCCCTTGGCAGTGGGTGACGTGAGTGCCCACTGGATCCGATGGCACGTGCCGGGCCCGGTGGATGTCAGAGCAGAGTTCAGCCACACCCGAGTCCCCGCTGAGGCCTCTCAGTAAGCCTTCGCCCCCAGGGAGCCCTGGAAGGTGGATGACCCCACCAGCCAGGTAGGCACGGCCTTAGTTTGGTTTACTTACCAGTCTGTAGCAAACACTTCTTCCCAGGGTTAACCTCTCTGGGACCTGGTGAAGCCCAGGAAGAACTGATCATCACAGACTAGTAAGTAAGCCCAGGGAAGCTCAGTTTATTGGATACCTGGCTTTCTGTAAACCAGGCTCTGCTGATCTGCCCTGGCCCAGACACAGGTGTCGGTAGACAGGTGCCAGAAGCGAGCAGGCATCAATCATGCTGCTTGCCAAAGGAGGAAAGGTGCTGGTGGGGAAACGTTTGTCACCTTGATCCAGAGAGTTAGAAATGCATCCCCAGATGGTCTTCTGGTTTTAGTATTATTGTTATTACACCCCCAACCCCCCCAAACCAAACTCACTGCCATTGGGTGGTGGAGTGGTTACAAGTTGGACGCTCTCCACAAGGTCAGCAGTTCATAACCACCAGCCGCTCCACCGGAGAGACGAGGCTCTCTATGGCCATAAAGAGTTACAGTCTCGTGAACGCCGGGGGCAGTCTGTCCTGTCCTGTCGGGCCACTACCGGTTAGAATTGACTCCGTGGCAGCGAGTGTGTTTTCGTTCCTGGCATTAGAGCAAACGGTAGAAGTCATGGGAAGTTAGGGGTGAAATTGAGGTATATCCAGGGGAGAAGCAAGAGATTTGAAATACCTGCTTAACACGGCGCCAGGGGACTGCAGGCCTGGAAGCTTGAGGGGTGTTAATATGGTCATGCGGCTGGGGAGGGGGCTCCTCCTCACACCCCCTCAAAACAGGCCGATGGTATCCCACCAGGAGCTGACGGGAATGCGCTCCCACCATGCATTCTGTCTGATTCTAGAACCCTCTGTACAATAGACACCAGATGATGGTGAAGAACAATGAAAAGGACCCGCTAGGACAGAGTAGAGCCGCCCCTGTGGGTTTCCAAGACAGTCACTCAGCAGGAGCACAAAGCCTCCTCTTTCTCCCAAGGAGCGGCCGGTGGGCTCAAACTGCTCACTTGGTGATGAGCAGCCCCAGAGGCACACCCCACCCCCACCCCCAGCACTCCCCGACTCACTGTCCTCGAGTCCATTCAACCCCAGCCTCCCACGAGGACAGAGCACACGTTTCTGCTGGGTTTCCAGGCCTGCCAATGCTTACGGGAGCTCAAAGTCTCACCAAGGAGCGGCTGGTGGTTTTGAACGGCTGACTACACAGTCAGCAGCCCAACAAGCAACCCTCTGCACCGCCAGGCCTCCTGGGGATGACAACCAAGGTGTGGCCTGTGTCCTCTTTTTCTCACCAGAAAGTGGATTTTTCCTACAATCAAATCTCCGAAATGACGGATCTGTCTGCTTACCAGGCTCTCACGAAGCTGATTTTGGACAGTATCCTTTGAATGAGTAAAGGGGCCGGGGCAGGATGTGGGACATTATTCTTTAGTTGAGTAAGGGGGTGGGAGAGCCGGGCAGGGAGGGGTATGAAACACTACCAGCCAAGCAATGTACTGGGGATGCATTACTCATTCAGTGGCGGAGAACTGGTGTTCCCTAGTCGGGGGGTGGGTTTTGGGAGGGGGGGAGGTATTTTATTTACTGAGGAATCAAACTTCCAGCCTGAGCTGGCCAGGAGCATCTTCTCCCTGCACTGCTGAGGGGCATTGCTGCTCCTGGTCCCCGCGTGTTTACTGTTCATTCTAAAATGCAGGTACGGTGATACTTGATTTCAATGCCTTCCGGTGTCCCTAAAGCGGTGCCCTCTCTGACACCAGTTTCACCATTTGGAAAGCCGGCTTTTGCCATAGGGAAAACGAGTGATTGTTTACGTTACAAACAATCCACCCTCATCTCTCCTTCCGTCGCAAGCCTCTCTGTTGCTAGTTGGCATCAAGGCTCTGCAACTCAGGGCAGCCCCAGGGGCAGCACGACGAAGCCCGGCCTGTCCTGCACTAGCCTCACCATAGCAGGTGGGCTTGGGCTCCTCGTGGTGGCCACTAGCTCAGTCCAACTCCGTAAGGGCTCACCTCGCTTCCATGGGCCCACCACTTGACCAAACAAGATGCGCGTCTCTAGCGATTGATTACTTTCTCCACTGACATCCATCCTGCACCACATGGGATGCTAGTCTATTGTGCCCCCCCCCGCCAGGGTTTTCAATGGCTGGTTTTCAGAATTAGATCACCAGGCCCTTGTTCATAGTCTGGCTTAGTCTGGAAGCTCTGCTGAAACCCATCCCACCACGGATGACTCTACTGACATTTAGAATTCTGTGGCCATCGCTTCTAGCATCACAGCAACACACACACCGTGACAGTGCTGTGACAACTGGCAGACGAGTGGTTGAGTGTATTTTCATTGTGTCTAGTGAACATAACACACATACACACACACACACACACACACACACACACACCAACGAACTTGGTTTGTAACAACTTCAGGAACCCATGTATTGCACAAGCCAGGACCCCATATAAATTGGTGTCTCCTAACGAGTCAGCATGCTCCAAGGTCTATCGCGTAAAGGGCTCATTGGGGACTTGTGAGTTTAATGAGCCCGAGTCTTCGTTACCCCAGGGCCCATGTCCTCTGGGCAACCAGGCAGCAGCCCTCCTCTTGCTCTGTGACGCTCTCTGCCCACCTGAGGATTCGTGGGCCAGCAAGGAGAGGGAATTCCAGGGACAGGCTGTACCCAGGACACAGCCTCGTCACAGGCTGAGAGGTGGGGGCCGGAGACACATTTTCTTTTCTTTTTTTAAAATCATTTTATTGGGGGTTCTTACAACTCTTTATCCCAATCCGTCCATCCATCCAGTGTCGGAGACACACTTTCTTGCAGACGTATTTTATAAAACGAAACTCGGTCCCTACGTGGTGGGCAGCTCGGCACAGAGCACCAGGTCCCTCCAGAGCTCGTGTGTGGACACCAGCCTCAGCAGATGGGGAGATGACGTACTTGAAAGAAGCCATTTCTTTCTGATTGCGGCCTCACCCACTTGTGAACCCTCGTGTCATGCTTGGGTGTCACGTGGTGGCGGTGGTTGGGTGCCGTCAAGTGGGTTCCTACCCACGGCGACCCGCTCTCTGCCCCGCAGAACCAAACCCCGCCCGATCCTGCACCATCCTCACAAGCATTCCTCTGCAGGAGCCCCACGCTTGAGTCTCCTAGGGATTGAAATGGTACAACCTCACTGCTCAGAAACCCATTCCAGACAGTATGTCCTGCAGGCCGTCTTGGGAGATGAACATCTCCAGCCTTGCTGGCCCGTCTTAGAAATGCAGATTCGTGCACTCCCACCCACTCTTCCTGAATCAGAACCTGCTTTTTGAACAAGACCCCTGCCCCCAGAAATATGCTGCGCACTCAACTCAAGAAGCCCCGTCTACAAGTCAGCTGACCACACATTCTCACCTGCTGGAAGTGGAGCTCTGGTGGCATCGGGGTTAAGCAGTGGGCTTCGAACTGCAAGGTCAACCGTTTGAAACCATCAGTTGTTCCCCAGGAGAAAGATGAAGCTTTCTACTCCTGTGAAGAGTCACCGTCCCAGAAACCCACCGGGGCAGGTCTAGTCTGCTCCTTAGGGTCTCCGTGAGTCAGAATTGACTCCGTGGCAGTGAGTTTTGTGTTTTGTTTTGTTGAGTAGAAGAGGAGGAGCCTGTGGTGGTGGCTCGTGGCCTCCAGTTGAGTGTGGCCTTGTGTCCAAAGGAAGGGGACCATCGCCAGTCCTGAGCCATCTTCATGATTGCTGGGGTGCCCCCATCCATCGTTGGTGCGATTGAGGACTTTCATTCAGGACCTTTGAAAGTAGAAATGGGACATGCGTTGTTTGGAGATCAATGTGTAGAGCTATTTGTCTCCCAGAAAAATAGTCTCCTTCAAATATTCCGGTGGTCCAGTGGGTCACAGGACTTGGGCTGCCAATCACAAGGTCAGCAGTTTGAAACCACCAGCCACTCCAAGGGAGAAAGATGAAGCTTTCTCATCCTGCAGCTTTAACAGGCTCAGAAACACCCCCTCCCTCACACACACACCCCACACCCCGGGAATAATCTTACTCTTTCCTTCCTGTAGGGTCACTGTGAATCTGAGGCGAGTTGTTTATTTTGTGCAACAAGGCATTGCCAAAGGAAACACACACACACACACACACACACACACACACACACACACACACACAGAATATTTGGAGTTCAAACCACAGGATACAATTTAACGAATTTTTAAGTCAGAAGAGTCATGGTTTCTGAGGCAAGGATGGCGGGACTTCATCTCATGGGCTTTGGGCCTGCTGTCAGGAGAGACCAGTCTCAGAAGAAAGACATCATGCTTGAATAGAGAAGGTCAGTGAGAGCAAGGGAGGCCCTCAAGGGGCTGGATGGACACAGTAGCTGCGACTGTGGACTCACGTGTAGAAACTACAGTGAGGTTGGAGCAGGCCTGGGCACTGTCTCATTCTCTTGTGCAGAGAAGGGATCGCTGTGGGTCAGAACTGACTCGATGCCACCTAACAACAACAACAGCAACAACACTTAGTGATCATACTGCTTGGATGGCTAGTTTTTAAACAGCGCTAAGAATGCTTCTCTTTGGGCTGTTTAAGCATATATTGTGCATAGGCAGATGGTGTTGTTTACAAACTTCTCTAACAGTGAAAAGCAAAAGTCCATATGAGAAGATTATGAGTTAAATTGAGGGGACCCAAAATATATAAAGCACTACATTTTTTTAATTTTCCTTTTTTTTTCTAGAAAACAAATTTTATTTGACCTCAGAAAGATAGTAAGTAAAGGGAAGACTTTTCTCAACTTGATAAAGAATGTCTACAAATTATTATTATTATACCTACAAACTTTAACCTGGGACATATCTAAGCATTCTCCTTGAAGCTCAGGGTCCAGACAAAGTTGCCCCTCTCTGCCATTCTCTCTGACTTTGTTTCGGAAGGGTCTAGCCAGTGCCCACCATAAAACAAGAGGACGAAATGGAAGGTCTAACAGTGGGCAAGAAGAAGATCAAAGTCATTTCTTGTAGGTGACGTGATTCTGTACGGAGAATATAAAAGAGAGCTTGGACTAAAGTATTGTAGAAATAGCAGAGTTTTGAGAATTGAGCAAAGTGGCTGGGTGCGATTTTAGGAAACAGAAGTTGACTGCATTTCTCTCTACCAGGAGCAATTAGAACACACAACTTTTAAAAGCGTCACCATTCATAACAGCAATAAAAATCTTATTAAAGATGAAGAAGACCTGTGAGAGCATAATAAAGGCATGATTTTGCCTTTATGGAAGGGCAAAAAGGGATAGATAGATACAAAAATTTCATATTTTCTTATTTAATGAAGTTTCTAAGATTTGGTAGCAAAAAAGCCCCTAAAACTTTATTAAAGGCCATGAAAACAAAAAATCCACTGAAATTTACTGTCATTGAGCGAGTGCTGACTTCATAGTGACTCTGTAGGACAGGGTAGAACTGCCCCTGTGAGTTTCCGAGACACTAATTCTTTACGGGAGTAGAAAGCCTCACCTTTCTCCCAAGGAGCAGCTGGTGGCTTTGAACTGTGGACCTTGCAGATCATATGTTGTTATGCAGTCAATTCTGATTTGTAAAGAGCTGTAGGAGATCAGTATTTATTTATTTTAGTTTGTCTTATGATGCTCTTTCCCTATTTGAATAACTGATGGTTAATTGATAATCATCCTAAATTCAGGGTGAGAAACATAGCATGGCTAAATACAGGGATTTATTCTTGAGAAGGAAAACACTCTATTCTTTATCCATAACTATTGACTAGCTATTTATTAGAACCTATTTTCTGAAACTAGAATCATAAAATGAAACCCAAACTCTCACTGCCATTGAGTTGATTCAGACTCAGGGGCCCTAGAGGACTGAGTAAAACTGCCCTGTGAGTGTCTGCATCTGTAACTCTTTACCCAAATAGAAAGCCCCATCTTTCTCCCACAGAGTGGTGGCTGGTGGTTTCAAACTGCCAACCTTGGGATTAGCAGCCCAACTCGTAACCACTACATCACCAGAGCTCCTTAAAGAATTATAGAATTCATTATGGATTTTTTAAAAATCCTATAGAATAAAAAAGACTTCGAATTTTAAATGCATAGCATCCTGAAGCCCAGGAGGTTCAGCTACACAGCCCAGATTATGTAGCCAAGGGGGCTAGACTTCTGAATGCTACCGTGTTCTTCATACTGCAATTCACGGAGTAATTGCCACTTTAATCACAGGGCCATTTAAATTGTGCACAGGCTTCCTTCCTGGGAGAGATTGGCTCCTATCATGGAGAGCATCTTTCAGCCGTGAGCTGCTATAGATCTTCTCGGAATTGGTTTTGATTAAAGCGATCATCCTGGCTTTCTCCACTCAGAGAATTGTGATGGATTCCGCCTTCTTCCCCAGCAACTGTTTTCTGTGCGCCTGGACCATATTTTATGTTTGTAGACAAATGAGGCAGCGTATGTACTGAGCTGGTGAATAATTCATGCTGAGCATTGTAAACTCCTGACAGCAGCGTCCAAACGGGAAAAGACAGCGGTGGCCTTTTCCCGAGTGAGGAAGTTCCTCTTAGATGCCACGGGGCTTCCGCCCTCACTTCTCCCACCCACCAAAGATTCCACCATAAAAAGATTTATTCACAGACTCATTTTAAAAGGCACGTTGGCGCTGCCCGCAGCAGGCTGAGACCCCGTTTGTTGAGTCTCCTCCTGGTAGTGGCCTCTAACAATGAAAATATGCCTAAGTGGGTTAACCCTGTAGGATGACTCATTGTAGCTTGCTGTATTTCATCGGATGGAAAAGTCCCAAGAATAGCGTTAGGAGGAAGGGCGAACACCTGTGTGGGAAGGTTCTTAAAATGAGATCAGCCATTGAGGACGATGCTTCTGAAGGCAAACACGGCTCTGTGTGAAGCAGCCCTTCTCTGTTGCCCTTTGCCATTGCGGGTGGACACGTGTGTATCGGCTGTTTGTGGGAGAGATACAAGGAAAAGGCATTGTGCTACTACTGCTGACTACGCTCCAGCAGAGTTTGGTCAGGGATGGGGTGTGGTGGGGAGTGGGGCTGAAGGCGCAGGGGGTGCAGGTGCCTGGGGTTACATGGTGGAATTCTCTCATCTTCCATGCAGAGACCGGGATGCTACTCCTGGCCAGTGCACCTCATGCACAGCCACCACCTGTCCATCAGCCCATCAGTGGAGGCTGGCACGTTGCTCAGATGCCCAGCAGGTTTCAGCTGAGCATGCAGACTAAGACAGACTAGGAAGAAAGGCCTGGTCACCTACTTGCAAAAAATCCACCAATGAAAACCCTCTGTATCACAAAATCCACTCTTGTGCAAGGGGTTGCTTTGAAGGGCGAGCCTACTCAATGGTAGCTAATAACGGCGAGAGTTGGTAGAAAGGGGATAACTGTGGACTGAAAGCTGAGTAGAGAAGACTTTGAGAAAGAAATACTAGTTTATCTAGAGGGGTTGCCAAGAAATGGAATCGCAGTGATGCCTTGACCATTATAGTTGATCTGGCCAAATTACATCCGAAGTGGCTAGGAGGAAGGCTCTCAGCCAGTAGCCTGAGGTGTACGTTTCCCTAAACCTTGTACTTCAAAGTGTTTACCAAGCTAGTGCCCAGGAACAGCGTGGCATCTGAATTGTCATTCTCCTGACTGCCTGTGAAGTCCAGTGTCTTCCCATATGTTTATTCCCCACTTGACTTTGTCTATTTGACTACAGATTTAACCGCCTCCTTTATGTATTCTAGACAGTAATCCTTTGCTATATTGTTGCATGCTCTCCCACCTGAGCATTTGTCCTTACTTGTATAACTAAAAGGTAATAATAAAGAAAGGGGGGCTAGCTGTCATGATGGAATACATAAAGATGCCGATTTAATATGAACCCGGAAAACAGGAAAGAAGAGCAGTGTGTTCTTTGAGTGGGCAGGGTTTTTGACATGGGGAAAACATATCTGCCAAGTCAAACGTGCTTGATACATTTACAAACTACCGAGACGACCCAAAGGACGGGGATGGAGAATTCCCATTGGGTTTTCATGGGGCATACAGTTGGGTGAAGGCTTAGCGGGGAAGACTGTAATGGGCAAAACTGAGGCATTTGGAAGACCTCTCTTGAGACTCTTAGTTGAGGTAGAATTTGAAACCACGAACCTGACCACATTGGGTAGAGTGAGTTGGGAATATGAACAGGGGGTATCAGCGGTGCCTGTTGTGTTCAAGGGGAGCTGTGTTGGCAGAGGAACAAATGACAAGGCAGGAAGTGATTAAAAGAGGTGTTTAAAAAAAACAAAGGCCCTATCTGGATGGGTGATGGGATGGTCTGAAGGTTGCATGCAACTTCAGGACTGATGTTATACACTACCTGATTGAGGAAATGGGGCTTTGCTGGAGAAATAGTATCCATGGTCTTGATATCGTGGGCCATGATGAATCATTGAACATGGTTCCAGTCACAGAGATGGAGGGCAGAAAGGTGAGTGGAATGGGTGACTCTGAGACCGCAGTGTTGGACAGGTTGGAAGACAGACATTCTTCACTACAGTTTTAGCAATGAATGGACGCATGCGCACCAGATGAGGAAATTCAGGCAGAGCATAAGCCTCGCTTATTGGAAAGGGGAAGCAGAAACCAATATAGGCCGGAAGAAAGGGCTGCTCTCTGCCCTAACAGGGCACTGGGTCTCCAGACCACCTATGTGCTCTGGATGACATCTGGTTTTCCTCTGAGGCGGCTAGAGCTTGGTGCTTGTTGTGGCTCAGTGAGACCACCCATGCGAAGCACATGAATCGCTCATGAAGACCGTGAACGAACCAGGCAGGCCACTGGGTGTCACAATGGTATTCCTTTTCCTCGTTGATTAAATGAGTCCTTACTGTGTGCACTGTCCGGCTCGGCACCCTCAGAAGCCACGCCTTTTGTTTCTTTCAAGCCATTTTATTGAGGAGCTAATCCAGACATCATACCAGTCCATAGTTCAATCTTATCATGCAGGGTAGTTCAATCAGTACCACCATCAGTTCCGAAACATTTTCTTCCTCCTTGTACTCCCTGATAGCAGCCCCCCATTCCCTTCCCCTCCCCTGCCATTCCCCTCCCCTCCCCTGCCGTGCCCCACCGGATCCTTTATTCTAGGGATCGTCTCTTGATTCACCCATCCTGAGTATGCCTTTTTAAAGAGTGTCATTTGAGGTGATGGTCGTAGAACTTGATACCGAGGGCTCAACTAGAAAGTGAATGTTCAGAAAATGGTGATGGCCACATATGTATACATATGCATAATGCAGTTGATGTATGGAATGTTATAAGAGCTGTAAAAGCCCCCAGGAAAATGATTTTAAAAATAAGCAAGGACAGCGAGGCTTCATCTTGCTTCCTTAGCACGCGCCATCCGGAAAGACCAATCACTAGGAAAGAGCATCGTGTTTGGTAAAGGAGATGGGCCGCACAGACAAGGGAACGTCTCCATGGGATGAATCCCCACCAGAGTGACCACAAGGGGCTCCAACGTGCCAACAATCATGACTAGAACGTGGGACTGGGCAAGGTTTCATTCTGCTACACGCACAGGGTCACCGTGCATCTGAGCCAACCGGACAAGCAGTCTGAACAGCAATATAATTTACATTTCAAGTTGGAGTGTTTTGAAAGCTCCTCCTATTGTGGCTCTCCACCTTGTCCTATGCATGCGACTTTCCGGTTCTTCCAAGGATGAGTTAGCATTGGGCCATTCTCTCTTCTCCAAATGATTTCAGTGGACGTTTTCCTTAAACGCACTCATGGTAAACAGACAACCAAATTCAGGAAATCAAAGGGCTCGAGCTCTGCTGTAACTTAACTCACCTGAGCTTGGCCAGAAACAAGATCACGACAATCGACGGCTTGAGCATGCTCCCAATCAAGAACCTTTGCCTGGTAAGCGTCACACCAGGGCTCTTCATCACAGTAGCCAGTGTGTGGGGCTAGGGGTGTCCAGGTTCAAATGAGTGAAGCGTGCACTCCTTTATGAGCGTGCCGCGGTCTAAGGTCTTGTTGGCTCCTCCCTGTCTGTCTCTTTGTCTTCTGTTGGCCTTATCCGCGTTCTGTGCTCCATTCCAATGACTTTCAAATTTAGCATCCAAAGTCAATTGGTTAAAAGATGCCTTGATTTTTGTTACTCTTTTGCACTGAGAAAGAAAGGGACCATTTTAGCAGTGGTTGGAAAACACATGTTGCAACATCTTCTGCGTGAAAATAGCATCGAAGCATAAAATGTATTGCAGGTTACACTTTTATTTCTTTCAAACAAGTCGGAGGCTCTCTGGGGACCCTGAATTCTAGCAGTTCCCTTGCATTAACATCCCAAAGATGAACGGGATATTTTTGAAAGACCAGCATGGCTCGCTAATTTGGGGGCTGAAGTGTGATTGTCATGGATCGTGCAGGAGTCTCCCTTCTTCCTCTCCAACTCTTCACCGGGGACACCTCTGCTGTCCTTCCTTACGTCCGGCTCTGGGTGGACGGGCAGGTGCTCAAGCCAGGGAGAAGGCGGCTGTTGTGGGTCACTGAGAGGAGTCCAACCTCCCGTGAGCCTGTAGGCCATAGTAGAACTGCCCTGCAGGCTTTCCAAGGCTGTGTTCCTTCCGGAAGCAGATCGGCCAGGTCTGGCGGGGTTCGAACAGCCAACCTTTGGGTAAGCAGCCAAATGCTGACCCTTTGCACTACCAGGGCTTCTCAGCGAGGCTTCTCACTTATTCCATTCTGAAGTTGAGTTTCCCCTGGGAAGGCGTTTAAATGGATTTTTGAAATGGTATCTTGGGGTGATCGGCAGGGTCTTTTTGACAAATAGAATTTGCCTTCCTCGTCTCATTTAACCATAGGCATCTGAAGGTGGTGGTGTGTGTAGGTGCAACTAAGTGGGTTCCGACTCGTGGCGACTCGATATCCAAGGGAAGGAAACACAGCAGGGTCCCTCCCGCGCCACCCTCACAAGTGTCCCGTGTTCAAGCCCACTGTGCGGCCGCTGTCAGTCCACTTCAAGCTCTATCTGTTTGGCTTTGGTATGATGCACTGCCTTGGGGTTTTCCCCCCCTCCCACATTTGCAGATTAAGTATAGTCTTAATTTCATTTATTTAAGAAAAGGCCTTCTCTCTCAAGAGAAGGTTTCCTTTAAGCAGAAATGGGGTAGCCAAGTCGTGGAGGATCCGTCAGGCTTTCAACATTGGACAAAAGGTTGACTAGGCGGCTGACAACTCAGAAGAGCCACCGTTCCGAATATTGGCCCCTGCGGATTGCTTTCATGACCCCGGGCTATCTAATTAAACTTTTCTCCGTCTCCCACGACTCCTATCCATCTACCACTTTGAAAGCCACCAGAGACACTGCAGAGAAGAATTACAGCCTATCTGACACATCTAAAACACTTCAAAGTTCTTTGGGAAGAAGGGTATTGTCTATAAAATTGATCTATAGGCATATTTTGAGTGGGATAGTGTAGTCTTATTTCAACAAGTTAAATGAATATGGATATTATGGATATTCATATTTAGTGTCGATTTTCTTTCCCGTGTATAACTTTTGAGCTTGGAGCAGTAGTAGGACTTTGGCATATGAATGCACTTCCTTTTCACGATGGACTTTTTTCATGGCTCTTTTTCAAGATCCCTGGAAGAGCATAGTTTCCCATCGCCCATGTGCTGTCACCCAGCTACATGGACTATTGGCCTCCTATCAATTTAAAGAGCTGTTGAATTATATGAGCGAACACAAATCTTGCTCACTATAACAGTAAATTCTTATGAAAAGTAGAATGAGTCTGCAGGCTTGCTATTAAATGTACTTGGAAACGTATGCCAGGAAAAATACTGTAGATGGAAGAGCAATATGATCATTTTAATTTTCTAGTTATTAAATGCATGTTAAACATCTTGAAAATTTAACGAGAGGCATCTCCAAATAAATCAATACAATCTCTGCCATCGCCAAGTCAATGCCAACTGCTGGTGGTAGAGTGGGTTCCCTGTTGGCCAAAAGGTCAGCGGTTCAAACTCAGCAGCCACTCTGAGGGAGCAAGAGGAGGCTAGCTGCACCAGTCAAGATTTGAAGTCTTGGCAGCCCAAAGGGTCAGTTCTGCCCTGACCTATAGGGCGAACACAGCATAGCATCACTTGGAAACTCAAATCCCTCTGTGTTACGATTCACCACTACACTGAAGAGTAAGTTTTACAGTAACATTCTTCGACCTGAAGACAAGGAACTCAAAGAAAGACATGCATGAGAATATTGGACAGGGTACAAGAAAATGTAAATTATTCTTGCTACTTTTTGTTGTTTTGGGTTCATAGGGGTTGGGGAAGAAGACAATATTTGAGTCTGTGTTTTATTCTACTTCTCTGAGAAGACACTAGTATGTGAGCTATTGAAGACATTAGTTACACACAGCAGTATGGAATGGGTCAATTCTGCCTCAGTGACCCAATGGGGCAGAGCAGAATTGCTTCCTAGGGCCTGCAAGGCTGTAAATCTTGACGGGAGCAAAAAACCTCATCTTGCTCCCTTGGAGCTGCTGGTGCGTTTGAACTATTGGCCTTGAGGTTAGTAGCCCAATGCTCAACCCCCCTAGACCACCAGGGCTCTATGTTGCCTAAGACTCACTGCTGATTTATAGTGACAACCTCCTCTCCCCGCGGGTTTCCAACACTGACACTCTTTATGGGAGTAGAAAGCCTAGTCTTTCTCCTGAGGAGGCCCTGGTGGTTTCAAACTGCCAACCATTCAGATTGAAGCCCCAAACATAATCACTACACCATCAGAAGCAACCCCCAAATGTAGTGGCTTAGAAAAAACACATTTATTTGCTAGTGATTGTGTAACCTGAACTGACTTCGGCTGGGTGGTGGTTCTGCTAGTGACGGGGCTTCCGGGAGATGCTGGGATGGCTGACTTTGTCTCTCCATGTAGTTCCAGAGCTTCCCTGCATGTGGCCTTCCCAGGGGGCCTCTTCAGTCGGTTGCTGGAGTTCTTACATGGTAGCTAAGGGCTCCTAAGACAGGAAAGCAGACCCAGCAGCGCCTTCGTAAGTGTTTGATGTAGACTTACTGTACTTCCGCCATATCCTTTTGGCCAAGACAAGTGATAGGTCCAGCCTAGATCCAAGGAGATGGGAGTGCTCAAGAGTATGGTTTCCTGGGAGGCATGATCCATTAAGAGCCACCAGCATCACACGCTCTCAGAGCCCACGAGCCCACGGGACACGAGGTAACTACATGGAGCAGATTTCCGCAAACACCTTTCTTCAGTCACTGCAGCAACTCAGTGCTTCCTGGTAAAGTTGAAAGCATGATGTTGCAGTGATGCCTCTGTAGGTCACCATGGAGCGGTGCTGCCATTAGGCCTTGGTTGAGCTGTTTAAGGAGACTGGATTACGTAGCGTTTGTCTTTCCTACTGCGAACTTGAACACTCATCTTGCGTTACCTTGAACGATTAGTATTACGTTGTAAGTCTTCAAGTCAGAGGACCAGGTTCTCTTCCCAGGATGCATGGGCATGTGAACGATGCATGATAGGTGGAAATGGAGGGGAAAGAAGACCCCAAACCGAGAGCGGCTTCCTGGTTGGAAGGGGCTTGGGCCAGCATCCTGAATGAAGATCTTTCATTAGGACGTTTCCTCCAGGGAGGCCTTTAAGAGACTAAGTTGGTTTTGTCCGTTTTAGAGCAACAACCAGATTGAGAAGATCACAGGTCTGGAGGAGCTGAAAGTGCTGCAGAAATTGGATCTGTCCAACAATCAGATCAGCAGCCTCCAAGGCTTGGAGAACCATGACCTCTTGGAAGTGCTCAACCTGGAGGAGAACAAGGTGAGGT